TATTTGTCGCACAAGAATATATGTTGCACAAGAAGATAAAGAATTTTTTTGATAAGGAAAAAAAATAAAAAAATAAAAAAAATGAAAAATAAAAAAATAAAAAAAATAAAAAAAGAAAAGAAAAAGATCTTAAAATGATGAATGATAAATAAAGTTACAAACGCTTCAATTGCTTTCACTCCAGAGAAGGATTAACGTCTAAAGTATTGTCACATTTGTCAAACGTTTTTACGCGGTGTTTAAGTTTCCTTCTTATTCAATAGTTTCATTTGCTCGAGTTTTTGAAGATATAAATAAAATAAGTAAATGTTTCGCACTAATTGGGCACACCTTTTCACTCACTCGCACTACCACTACATTCAATATTCTATGCACATCAACTCACATGTTGATTTTCCCTAGCTTTTTGATCGTGGTCTCTTAATCATTTTTGATCTTAGGTGGAACCGTTTTCTATAGCTCGCACAGTGCTTTTGGTAGGCTACATCATACTCGTTTCTAATTGGCTAGTCGTTGAATACTTTGCACTTCATTTAGCGATTTCAGGGGTACATTAAGTTGCAGATTTCATGTGATTGATAGCACTTCAAACACCTTCAGTTAATCTCAAGTACAGTATTTTTTCACGATACTAAAGTAAATGGCTTGCAAATACTGACATGCGCTTTTACTGCCGGATACTAAGGCTACGTACGCACTAATGCGTTTTCGAAAAGCTCCGTTTTCGTCTCGCCGAAAACAAAACGAAAGCTTCGCGTCCATACTAGCATTTTCATAGCGCTTTCGCCCGTCCACACTGGAACGATCAAAAACGCAGATACGATCGGAAAAGATGCAACATTGTCATCTGCGCAAGCTAAAAAAAGACGTGTCGGTGTGAATGACGTCAGCGTTTTCAAAAGCCTCCGTTTTCACACTAATACAATTGGCCTCCGTTTTCAAATGTCTCCAATCTGGACAGCGTTTTCAAATGTTGTGTTTTCGATCGTTTTAGCGTACACACGAGGCCAAAACGCATCGAAAACGCCAGTATCCGTCTTCAAACGAAACCGCATTAGTGGAGGGGGCCGTTCAAAATAAAAAGTACCAAATGCCGACGTGTACTTCAATTGAGTGGTTTCTAGGTAAACAGTAAAAAGAACCAGAAAATGTCATATAAGCTTGCAAAACTGTAACTATTAAATGACTATTATCTGATTAGATAATGTACTTTGCTCGCTATTCGATTGGTTCTGAGGAAAAATTAGTGGTATACGGACATCTGGAAATTCGCAACAACAACAAAAAAAAAAAGGTGAAGAGAATTGCTCAGTCTAAATTTAGAATTACTTGATTTGCAGCAGCTTTGTTGTTGTTTTTTCTTTCGATTTTAAGGACTGTGATAGCAATCAATCAAGATACGCTTATGTGTTAAGATCGATTATTGGTTATGCAAACAGTTTGTTTTAAAATTTAGCATATTTTGTTAAAGGATGAAAAATTTCACATGAATTTTCTCTAAGCCACCTGGTCTCTAACCAAGTAAAAACAAGTGGCCAATCAGAATGAAGGATTATTTTAGCCATTGTCAGGGCATTTGTGGAGCAACATCTTGTAATAAATATATATATAGAAGCAATGTGAAGCTATATGCAGCTGGCTACATTCAAAGGACGCCCAGAAGACGGCATATCTTTACCGGAGCACTTCGCCGAGCACATTTTGTATTAAATCGACTGGGAAAAAAAATTGCTGAGCAAGACAAGTTTCATGGCCGTCCCTCCAAGTGCACTATTTATAAGGTGAAGAAAAAAATAGTACTAGTTTTCATCATCTTTCGTGTACAACGTCTTCTTGATGTAACTTGTTAGAGACCGTAAACTAAATAGCTAAGTTTGAACAGTGAACAGTGAAAAACGCATTCAGTATAAAGTTATAGTTTTAGGCAAATTACTGTGATAAGTTCGCATTTCTGTCATTTCTGTCATCACGCTGCACTAGGTTAAAATTGAAGTCAAAGTTATAGGTTTTTATGGTTTTCATTTATACAAAAACAATTGGTACTGAACGTTACTGAAAAGGGGTGAAAGTTACAAGTATTTTTTGCATTTCTATTTTGGATTTATATAAAAAAATTCAAAAAACATTAAAAACGCATCACCCAGTTAGTATTTGGGCGAAGTTTTTTTTTTGATTGTGCATTTATACATCAACGAATTTTACTAGCTACATATACATGCTCACAAATTCTGCTGTTTTTGTAGTATTTTTTTTAAAGAAAAAGCTTTCGCGATGATTGCCCCTGGGTCCAAAGGTTGCTCGCTCGTTAAAAGAAGCGAAACAGAACCTCTGTAGACCAGGTTACGCGACGATATGATGTTAGTTTTAATTCACTATTTGATAGACTCTTAGATAGGTCCTCAGGACGTAAATCCTGATTGATTAAATACTGGTATTTAATTGAAAAAAAGCCATGCGAACCAAATGATTTCCGACGTGCTTCTTACAGAAAACACGCGTATCAGGTTTTAAAACGCTGATGAAACGCCAACAAAACAATGGAGTGTGGGTGAGCCCTTAATTGAAGCGGGGTGGTTCTGTCGTTTTCTAGGCAGTGTTATCGTGATATAATGGTAGTTAAAAGTAGATGATGAGATGTTAGAGTCTGTTCAGTCTGGTTCAGGCGGATCTTAGTCTCCCCCACAGCCGCTTTCAGTGTCGTCGCGCAACGCTTTCTCCCCTGAGAAAGCGTTGCGTGAAGACACTGAAAGTTGCTGTGGGGGAGACTATGTGGATCTGAGTCTTTAGGAGTCTTCACTATTGAAGTTGTTGGGTCTTTTTAGAGTTTCAGAGGACTCTTTGATAACTTTCAAGAATAGTCTTAAACAGAGTACTGATGTAGAGGGGGTTAAGTGCGAATCGTCGGCTTCCATTGATAGCAGTTGAATAGTTAGAGTAAGCGACGCCCAAACTTTATTTTTTGTCTGCGCTTTCACAGCTGCCTACATTTGCATTCATCATCATTTTATTATTTCAACAGTATTCTTTCAAAAGCCGTCTTGTTTAGGAAAGGTTGTGGGTATAATTAAAGCCTCGACTTAATTACAGTGCATTTTTACAACGACTAGTTAGCTATACACACATAATGGTACTAAGAAGCATATAAATCAATAAGGCCGACAATATTCTAAATAGTCTAAATGAAACAATGTAGACATCGTTAATTATGTTAAAAGAAAAGAAAGAGAAAAAGAGAGGGAGAGAGAGAGAGAAAGAGAG